GAAAGGCATTCCCCTTGTGAACAGGGACCAGACAAGGATGCTCACTATCACCACTCCTCTTCAATAATGTATTGGAAGAACTTTCCAGAGCAATACAAAAAAGAAGGAAATAAGAGGCATCCAAATTGGCAAAGAGGTGGTAAAACTATCACTATATGCAGACAATATGATAGTGAAAATAGAAAATCCCAAGATTCAACAATAAAACTCTTAGACGTAGTAGAATAAATGAATAGAGAGGCAGATACAAGATCAATATACAAAAGTAAGTAGTGATAAAGGAGACACAGAAAAAGAAACTAAGAAAGCAATATCATTTATCAACCACAAATTGAGATAATTGGGAATAGTCTTAACTAGAGACACAAAGGATCTTTAAACTACAAAACACTAATGCAAGACACAATAAAAGACTAAGTAAATCGGGAAATGATCCTCTTTCATTGATAGGAAGACTCAATATTGTGAAAAATGACAATCTTAACAAAAGCTATCTACCTGTTCAGCACAATCCCAACACAGATACCAAATACACTTTCCAAAGACACTGAAAGACAATTGTTAAGTTTATTTTGAAAGGAAAGAGACCTCAAATAAGTGAAGAACTTCTGAAAAATAAGAATGTGTGTGAGGCATAGGGTTACCTGATCTTAAAACCTACTACAGAGCTGTAATAACAAAAACAGCATGGCACTGGTACAATGACAGACACACAGGCCAATACAATAGAACAGAACTGAGAATTCAGAAATAACCCCTCTGGGATGTTCAACAAAGAAACAAAGTGTATCAAATGGGGAAGTGACACCCTTTTCAACAACTGGCTCTGGTAGAATTGCTCTTGAACTTGCAGAACGCTAAAGCAGGATCCACATTCCTCACGAGAAAAATCAACTCAAGGTGGATCAGAGATCCAGGGATAAAGCCTCAAATCATAAAGATCATAAGAGACAAAATGGGGCCAAATTAAGAAGACCTCACCTATCATACAAAGAGACTGGAAAATATAGCCAGAAATATACAGCCAGAAATGTACAACCAGGAGAGAATAACATTGATGAATCCTAAAGATTACATCCCTATGTACACCAAAAAAACTGGGGGGGGGGAAAAATTGGCAATGTCATCTCTGACAAAGTCCTCATAACAAAAGTTTCTAGAATCCTACAGGGCCTCCATAAGAAAAAGAATGGTAACACAATTACAAAATGGGCAAAAGACGTGGAAAGGCTTTTCATAGAGGAAGACATTCAGATAGTCACAGACACATGAAGAAATGTTCAAAATAACTGGCAATAAGAGAGATGCAAATCAAAATCATAACGAGATATCATCTCACCCCAATAGCTGTGACAAAGTTTAATAGGATACAAGTGATAAATGTTGGAGAGCTTATGGAGAGATAAGAACTCTTACATACTGTGGGCAGGATTGTAAAATGTTACAATCTCTCTGGAAGGCAGTTTGACATTTCCTAAAAAGACCCCTGAACACAGAAATTCCATAAGACCTAGCTATTCCACTGCTAGAAATATACTCTGAGGAAAATAGAAGCAAGACAAATGTAGATTTGCATTCCAATATTCTTAAGAGTGTTATTCACAATAGCAAGAAAATGGAAACAGCCATAATGTCCATCAACAAACAAATGGATTGAGAAATTGTGGTGCAGGCACACAATGGAGTACTATGCAGCACTCAGGAGCAATGATTTTGAAAAATACTATATAACCTTGGAGGGGTTAGAGAGAATTATGCTGAGTGAACTAAGTCTCATATGGACAAACACTGCACTGAACCATTATTGTAAAAATAGAAGGATTACTAGTAAGATGTATAGAAAAGCTCAGAGAGGAAAGTGGGGGGAGTAATGGGTCTGAAGTTGTGCAGGGGCCACGGAGTCTTCAGGCCACAAAATTATGTGAGCAGAGTCAGGGGTCAAAAAAATTAGGAAGGATCTAGTGGGGACCTGAAAAGGTGGGATAATGGTAAGCACGGATCAATGGTGATTAATTTTATAAAACACAATGTATGAGAATGATACTATGAAACAATGTGACTAGAGGAATGGTGAAACACAATATGTATAAAAACAACAAAATATATAGAAATTTCAAATGCAAACCAATATAAAATTAAAATAATTTTTTAAAAATAGGCTTAAGTATATAAGAGACTGTAAGAATAACATAGGATACTGCAGGGTCCATTGTCCATAAGGTCACTATGAGTTGTGGTCCACTCATAGTGGTCAATGGCACCTAACAAAAACAACTACAATTTTATAGTAAGTCTGGAAACCAGATAGAATGAATACTCTAACTTTATTCTTTTTTTTGAAAATGTTTTAGCTATTCTAATTCTTCTGCATTTCCATATAAATTTCAAGTTTAGCCTGTCGAGCTAGGAAAAAAAAAATCACTTGACAATGACATATCTAAGAAGGGACTCATATTTAAAGTTTGTAGTCTACTCCAGAATCTCAACAAGAAAACACTGAGTAACCCAATCACAAGATAGGGAAAAGAAACACTTCACCAAAGAAGAAAGTAAAATGGATGATAAACACATGAAAGTGTCAAGATCTCTAGCTATGAGAAAGCTGCAAGTCAAAACAACAATGCAATATTATCTCATCCTAGGAACAATAATAAAGTTCAATAGGATAACAAACAACAAATGCTGGTAAGGATGTAGAGATTCTGGAATTCTCACACACTGTTGGTGGGAATTTAAAATGGTTATATCACTATGGAACATAGTCTGAAAGTTCCTAAAAAATTGCAAATAGAAATACCATTTGACACAGCTATCACACTACTTAGGGATTTCTGGTGGCTTAGTAGTATGAAGCTGTGCTGTAATCCTGAAGGCATGCTGTTCAAATCTACCTGTTGCTCTGCAGGAGAAGGATGGGCAATCTTTTTCCATGTTATATACTCCACGTGAAAACCCCACTGAAGGGCCTGCTATAGGTCAATTCTGATTTGACAACAAAGAACAACATCTTACTACTGGGAACAGACCCTAAAGAAATTTGAGTTGTGACACAGATATATGCACATTCTTGCTTATTGCAGCATAATTCACAATAGTGAGGAGATGGAAGTAGCTGAAGTGTCCATCAATAAAAGAATGAATTTAAAAACTGTGGTACATTAATAAACGGAATATTATGTAGCACTGAAAAAAACAATGAACTTGTAAAACACTCCACAATATCGATACATCTGGAAGACATTACGCTAAGTCACAAAAGGACAAACACTGCATAAGACAACTATTACAAAACAAGATGGAGATGAGGATGGGGGAAAGCAGGAAAATAAAAGGTATATAATACACACTGCACTAGAATGAATGAAGAGAAGAATAATCTAAAATGAATAGATGATTAAACATGATATATATCATGGCTATCTAGAACAATACATGCATTAAAATATGACTTGAGAGAAGCAAATATGTATCAATGAATGAATGAAAACTTGTCTTTTTGTAAGCTTGCAGTAAATTCACAATTTAAAAAGTGCTCAGATTTTAACAAAATTGACATCTTAAATAATATTGAACCTTCTAATAACAGAACATGGTTTATTTAGGTCTTCCATTTATCCTATTAAATACAGTAGTTATCAATATATAAATGTTGTATATAGTTTGTGAAGGAAATCTGGTGGCCTAGTTGTGCTGCTAACCCAAAGATAAGCAGTTCAAATCCACCAGCTGCTCATGGAAGAAAGATAGGCAGTCCTCTCCTGTGTGATTTAAAGCCTCTGAAAACTCACTGGAGGCTCAGTTATGACTCAGTTCTGACTCAATGGCAACTGACTTGTTGTGTGACATACTTTGTGAAATTTAGGGGTGCTTTTCTGGAAGACATTTGAAATGCTACCTTTACACTTAAATTTCCAACTTATCAATGCTAATACATACAGAAATAAGATTAGTTTGTAAATTTACTCTTTTGCAACCTGCTATGAACAAAAGTAGAAAAAAAATTTTTCAGCAAACGCCTTGGGCCTCAAAACAGAGAAAAATTAACCTTTTGATAATAAGACTGAGGAAAGTGAGAATATTTTCAAACAGAGCATTATTTTTCAGACGGTTTTCTAAATTTTAAATTCTCCAATGAGAAGTGTACTTCATATGATTTCTTTATATTACAAAATGTGAGGACTTAATAAGAACTAAGCAGTTATATTAAGTTCTAAGATACAGGAGAAAAATCCCAAATTTTACCTTTCCAAGTACTGTCAACTGCTCAACTAAAAGATGTGCACTTTCAGTTTTTCCAGCTCCACTTTCTCCAGAAATGACGATGCACTGCACAGCAAGAAAACGGAGCTGTGAGAGGACTTTATGTGCATAAGATTCAGCTGATAAACAAAAAATAACCATGAAGAAGATTTCTGAGAATCTGAGACTCTCCTTACCTGATCGGAATTATACGTAATCATAGACTGGTATGCTAAGTCAGCGACTGCAAAAATATGAGGCGGGTTGGCAGTTCTCTTTGCTCCACTGTATATTTTGGAATGCTAGACATTAAAAAATTTAAAGAAAAGAAAAAGAAAAAAAATTATTTCCTCTTCTTTCTTTCTTTGTGTATTTACAATTGGAAACCTGGGTTATTCATACATATAAGCCTAATTTCTCTAACTTTTAAAGTAACAAATACATAAAAATAGAGTTTCAAGCCACCAAAACATTACTTCAAATGCCTTATATAAAACACTAAAAGCATCCAGAAAGCATGCCAAATTGGGTAAACTAGAAGCCCAAGTTAGTCCTATTAAAAGCTACCATTTCTAGTACAAGACATAAATTGGAAAATGCCACTATTTCTTTAAATAAAAAGAAATGCATAAATAAGAGATATAGTTTGTAGATATGATTCCAACCTCTGAAACAGGAATAAAATAAAAAGTAAGTATGATTTCTATAAGTTTTAATGTCACAACAGACAACAGAATTATATCATTTAACATGCAATAATAGCCATTAGGCACAATAAATTATATGAGGCTGCTTTTCTTGTCAATTGAACCCAATCTCTTCTAGTAATTTGTGCCTAATCTATGATGTTTTTAATTTCCCCAAATGCATGTGAATGCAGCACAATGGAAAAGGGGTGATTAAAGAATAATTAATACATTCTAATTATGGTGAACACCACCCCTTGCTTGCTGGGTCTCTTTTTAGAACATCATTGACACTCACATGGAACACCTGCATCGAATATCCAGGAGAGATATCTCTATGGCCTTTATAGCCACAGCTGAGATGTTATCCGATTGTGCCAGCCACATATCTTAGTGAGAACACTTCAACACTCACCTGGGGTTCCAAGCCTGCCACCACAGGCTTCAACTGAATCTGGAAACATGGTATGACTGATTTGCTATTAAATGTACAACATTTACTTGTCAGTTTGCTATACTCTAGGAATTATCTGCACACTTCTAATTACTTCCTAGATTAAGTATCTATATTCTTGGTTGGTTGTCATTGTTCTTATTAGTACAGCACCTGTCTATCAGTTTGCTGTACTGGTGTAACTTGTGGATTGCTATGATGCTGAAAGCTATGCCATCAATGTGTAGTGCTCCCAGGTCAAGGCAGGTAAAGGTGCAGGATTGGCTAGTCACTTCTGAAATAATGTGCCTCTGAAAACCCTATGAACAATAGAGGAACACCAAAGATATAATATTATGGTATTAGAGGTAGAGTCCAGACTGGAAGTCAATAAAAATGAGAGGAAACACTTGTAAACATCCTTTACAACTTGGAACATCTAATGTATGAACATTGACAATTAGGAATTAGGGAGATATGGTAGACTATTTTGGCCATTTTGAATCAGACAATCACATGGTATACTATTCTAGGAATGAAAAACAGAAGAATGGTGTTGCATCCATACTTAAAAAGACAATTTCAAGCCATATCCTGAAGTACAATATTCTGAGTGATAGGATATTATCCATAATCATATAAGGAAAACCTGTTAACACAATTTTTATTCAAATATAAGCATTTATAGTTGAATCCAAAGAGGAGTAAATTAAAGATTTTTGCCAAATCTTGCAATCTGAAATTGACCAAACAGGGAATCAAGATGCATTAATCATAACTAGTGACTGAAAAGCAAAAGTTGGAAAAAATGAAGAAGGAACAAATGGTAATCAAAAAGAATGGACTTCAGACAGAAATGCAGTCGTAACAGAATGATCACATTTTCTATGTTCAATGATTTATCATAACAAATACCTTTTTTTTTTAAAAAAAAGCACAAATGGTGACGCTACACATTGACCTCACCTAGTACTCTGCATAGGAATCAGACTGACTACATCTGTGGAAAAAAATCATAAGAGAAGCTCAGTATCAGCAGACAAAACCAGCCCAGCTGCTGACTATGGAACAGAACATCATGTGCAAGTTCAAATTGAGAGTGAAAAAAATGAAAACAAACCCACGAGAACCAAAACTTGAACTTTAGTCTATCTCCCTTGAATTTAAAAATAATCTTAAGAATAGGCTTGAAGCATTGAACACCAATGATCGAAGACTAGAGAAGCTGTGGGATGATAATAAGGATATTATTCACAAAGAGTGCAAAAGGTCCTAACAAACACAGAGGCAAAACAAAAAACCAAAACATATGTCAGAAGAAACTATGAAAATTGTACCTGAGCATCAAGAAACCTAATTAAAGGAGAGAGATAATGAAGTAAAAGAGCTTAATAGAAGATTTCACAGGACTGTTCAAAAGACAAAGTATTATAATGGAATGGCTAAAGCTAGAGAATAGAAAGGGAAGAACTTGCTTGATACTTGTCAAGCTGAAACAACTGAAAAGCAAATTCAAGTCCTGAGTTGCAATACTGAATAATACTATGAGTAAAATCTTGAATGATCCAGGAAGCATCAAAAGAAGATGGAGAGGACACATCAAATCACTTTACCAAAAATAATTTGCTTACATTGAAAAATTTCAGGAAGTGTTATATGATCAAGAGTCAGTGGCAAGGAAGGAAGAAGAACAAGCTGCACTGAAGACACTGGGATGGGGGGAAAATCCATAGGATATCAAGTGACATGTTTCAAATAACAGATGTATCCCTGAATGAGCTCATCAGTCCATGCCAGGAAATTTGGAGGACAACTTCCAGGGAAACTGGCTGGAAGAAATCCATACTTGTTCCCATTCCCAAGAAATGTGATCCAACAGAATGTGGAAATTATCAAATGATATCACATGCAAGCAAAATACTGCTGAAAATTATTGGAAAATGGCTAGAATAGTATATAGAGACCTGCCAGATGCTCAAATTAGATTTAGAAGAGTCCATGGCACTAGCAACATCATTGCTTATGTCAGATGGATCGCGGCTGAAAGCAAAGACAAAAATTAAGTATATTTGTGTTTTATTGACTATACAAAGTAAATTGAATGTGTGGATTATAACAAACTATGGCTAACATTGAGAAGAATGGGAATCCTAGAACACATAATTGTGCTCATGTAAAACTTTTACCTAGACCAAGAGGCTATTGTGTAAACAGAGCAAAGGGAACACTGCATGGCTCAAAATCAAGAAAGGTGTGCATCAGTGCTGTATCCTCTCTCTATACCTATTCAGAAGAAAGTGAAATCATACCTATTCAGAAGAAGGTGAAATCAGGATTGGAGGAAGACTCGACAACTTTCTTTATGCAGATGACACAACCATGCTTGCTCAAAGTGAGGAGGACTTGAAGCACTTGCAGTCTCAAAGAAGACAGCCTTCAATATGGACTGCATCTCACAGCAAGAAAACAAAAATTCTCACCAATGGACTGAGATGTAACATAATACATGGAAAAAAGACCGAAACTGTCACTGACTTCACCTTACTTGGATCCACAATCAACACCCTTGTTTACCAGCAGTCAGGAGACAGGAGATGTACTGGGAAATTCTGTAATGAGGGACCTCTCCAAATAATTGAGGAACAATGATATTGGTTTGAGGACTCAGGTGTGCCTGATTTGGACCATGTTCTTTTCAGTCACTTGCTATTCATCTGAGAGCTGGGCAATGACTAAGGATGACAGTATAAGAATTGATACCTTTGAACTGCTGGAGAAGAGTACTGAATATTCCATGGACTGTCAAGAGACCAAACAGATCTGTCTTGGAGATGGTGTAGCCAGAGTGCTCTTTGGAGGCAAAGAGGATAAAACTTTGTCTCACATATTTTGTGCATGCTGCTAAGAGGGGTTATTCCTTGAAGAGGGACATCAAACTAGGAAAGGTGGAGGTTTTGTGAAAGGGAGGAGACCCTCAAGCAAATGGGTTGACACAGAGACTGCAGCAATGGCTCAAGTATGTCACAGATTATGAGAATGCACAGGATATGGCAGGGCTTAGATCTGTTTTTTGTAACAACTGTGATGATGGCAAAGAATATTAAGTGGACAGCCAGACGAACAAACACCTATTTTGAAAGAAGTACAACCAGAAAAGGAGCACCCTTAGATGTAAGAGTGCTAAGACTTAATTTTATATACTTTGGACATGTTATCAGGTTCTGTGAAAAAAGTTCTATGAAAAAAACACAGGTTCTGTAAAAAGAAAGAGGAAGACCTTCAGTGAGGCTGACTGATACAGTGACTGCAACAATCAGCTGAAATATGACAATAACTGTGAGGACAGTACAGGACCTGTGTTTCTATATTTGGTTATATATATAGTCACTGTGAGAAAGAACCAATCTACACAATCATAAGCACACATTTTAATAATATGCAATCTATTACAGTTAATAAAAATCATTAAGAATCGAAGTCCATTTGTGCCTGGTATAAACTACTGCTGAACAAAAGGAATTTTCAAATTTTCTTATCACTGTGATTTCCTCAGGAAGGCAGTATGACATTGAAAGATGTCGCTAATTTGCCATTTCAGATATAACCAATTTCTATAAGGCAATTAAAACTTTGGGGCCAATAACCAGTAAAATCTCCTATGCTTGGCTGAGAGGTAGGCCGTGAAAATATGTGTATTTTAGGCAACAGTTTAGTAATATGTAGTATAAAATAATTGGCAGTAATTGAAGGTAAGTTGACATTTTGCCTAACATATATTCTTGGAAAAATAAAAGACTACAAAACATATCCAGATTGACATATCTTTTATTTTCCTGTTTCTATTTATTGAATAAATAATAATTTATAAAAATATAATGATAATATGCAAAATTTTTACAATCAGTATGTCAATTTTCATCCTAATACTGGATAAAATTTTCAACGAAATCACTGAAGTATATTTAGATATCAAAGTAATATAACTGTTTTTCACAAAATAAGAACATGTAAATCATGCCACATACCTTTGTGGAATAAAGATCTAGTTTCTGAAAAGGGTTGAGGGCGATCAGAATATCTCCCACATAGATATAAATCTGGTCTCTGGAATAACACTTTTCAAGTTGGTCTGAGACTGTATTCTGTCATAAAAGAAAAAGAATTTCTCTTTTAAAAATTTTTCATGATTGTGCGCATTATGTTTTGAGCTGCTAGTCAAAGGTTATCAGTTCAAATCCATCAGCATCTCCACAGGAGAAAGATAGGTTGTCTCTGCCTGGAAAGATTTACAGGAACAAGCTGGAATTGATTCAGTGGCTGTGGGTCTGGTTTTTGGCTTGAAAATTTTAAAACTAAGTAATAATTACACACACACACACACACACACACATCCCCCAAACAATGAAACATAGAAAGTCTGGGCCAAAGAATAGAAAAAGAAAAAAAAAGAATTTTTCTAGAAATAAGCATTAACATTGGATCTGGAATATCTGTTATTTAGCATGAGTTTGTTTTGATTTTAAGAGCCAAGATGAATTCCATTGTGACCTGTATTTTCTAAAGAAGATGCTATTCATGATGAGAACTCTGCTGGCTTAGTGATAAGAAGCTGTGCTGAAATCCCAAAGGCAAGTGACTAGAATCCACCAGCTGCTCCAAAAGAGAAGGATGGGCAACCTCCTCCGCGTGGTTTACTGTCTGTAAAATCCACTCGAGAGTCAACTACTAGCTCCAACTTGACAGCACACAACAACAACAGCAATATACATGACAAGACTTATACAAATTCATATTTTTTCAGAGAATTAAGGCTACAGATAAAGAAGTAAAGAGAGAAAACGCTAGAAATAAGAAGATATCATAAATTTTATTGCAAAGCAAGGTTATATATAACAATACTGAGAAGCATCCTAGCTCATAGCATGGATTTTTGTCTTGATAAAGCAGAGTGAGAAGCAGAAAAATAATTTTTAGAGTTGACAGATCATATGAGTACATGGAATCAATTTAAATAGTGTCAGAGATCATAAATGATGGGTGGGGGAGGGGAGGATTGTATACCAATGAAGGGATTTTTCTTTTACTTTTCAAAGAGAGGAGAAAACTGGGGGGGGAGAGGTGGGCAGGAAGAAAAAGTGCAACAATGAATGAATGGAAATCCAAAATTTCTGTAAATGTTCATTAAAATTAAT